TGTGTGTGTGTGTGTGTGTGTGTGTGTGTGTGTGTGTTGGGGGGGGGGGGGCTCTGCCATGAGGAAGTTCGGCTTAAAGACACGTCCCAGGGGCGTTTCTGGTCCCCACCTGTCGTTTTGCTCCTCAGCATGGCTTCCTAAAAACACTGCAGGATTTCTCAGACATGCATGAATGAGTCAGAGCAAGGCTTTGGGCATGTTTTTATGAGAGTATAACATTATAACATGATATAAAACGTTTAAAGCTATAAAAGTTTATTTTACATGATATTGCCCCTTTAAGGAATCTTAAGTTTTTAATTGTAAAAGTTGTTAATTTTTTTTCTTACCTGCCTGAAAAGACTTGTTATTGAATGTTTGTTCTTTGGAAAACGTATCCAAATGTTTATTTGTCACCATATATTATACAAAACAATGAGAAATTAGTCAGTTGGACTGTATTCACTCAAAATCAAGTAAAAAAAACTTTCAACACACTTTATGACATTTCGGTATCTGCTTTGACTTGCTTACAAAAATCTTTATTTTACAGATTTCAATGACGCCATTTTGTAAAGTGTGTTTACTTTCTGATTCACTTCTTGTTTGAACTGTTCGGTGAATGGAAAATTCATTTCCATGAGCTTTTAGCCAAGATTCTTAGGTTTCTATTGGTTCCAAACGTGTCCACATCTTCAGTTAACGGGAAAAGCTGAAGAGGTTAAAGCAGCAGTTTCAAAGCAAGAACAGGAGCATGGTGTCTCTTTTCACTTTGATCTCAGACCTGAGTGTTTACACCCGCTGCAGACAGGCAAGATATGAGCAGTCACAATAATGGTAAGAAAACAAAGGAATAATTGCAGAACCGCCCACATTCGCTAAATCATCATCCCATTCAAACGTTGCTCATTTTGTCTTATTTCTGCGTGTTGGAAGGACAGGATGATGGTCATGTCTCACAGGACTCAGATCAGAACCTGGTTTGGATGAAACAGATAATTACACTGATATGAAGTACTTGTTATCACACATGTGTACCATGTATATTAATATATTGTGTCTGTGTTCAGCCGAGTTTGTTGTTAAATAGTTTTCGGTCCGTTTGGTCTACCTGCAGAAGAAAAGGTTTATTCTGCAGAGTGTTGTTTTTGCAGTGTTTGTTATCTGTCCCGTGGAGCCGGATGTGCGTCTGATTGCTCCCCTCCCGTAAAGGATATGGTCAAACAAAGGAACAATTCAACAGTCTACTTAACAGATACACGACGATGACTTTCTACACCGGTAAACGTGCCCCCCCGGCGCTGCTTTTTAACACAAGCGCATTCCACAGATTCAGAGTCCAACTTGGCTTATACAAGGATTAAAACCTTGTTGGTTCTGCTATAAAACCTTCCAATTAAATATGTGTTTCACAGCATACCTGTTTTTATTACAGTTTCAAAATCAGCTTTCCAACATAAAAGCTATT